AGATTAGTAGTTCAAGTTTATCTTTTTATTATTGTAATAAAAATAGGTGTTTTAAGAAACAGGTTTTTCCCTAATATTTAGAAATTGGGGTTACAAATATTTACTTGCTGTGAATTGCTCTCTCCTCAAGTGATAAAGAGATATTTGGAAACACAAAGAGATGGGCTATTGTTGAAGAGGTGCTGAAGAATGTCTGATGAGTGAGGGGTGAGTACTTTCATGGGTGAAGCCCCGTGGATGGAGGAACGCTTCACATCCCCTACCTCCTCCGCCATGTGGGAGGTGATATGCTACCCCAGACTCACTTTCCAACCCCCAACTCTTCCCCATCAAACTCCCCTCCACACATCTTCCTATCAGGGAAAAGTTCATGCATATGTATATATTTTGGTGTGTGTGTGTGTATGTATGAAGGTGTTGTGGGTTGCTTGCGTGTCTTGAAGTGCTTGATACGTAGGAGGACTGCAGACTCCAGCACTGTCTATCTGCCTTTGACCACACTACACTACGAGGTAGTAGGTGATGCATGATACAGGAATTCGTAAAAGTTACTTCAATATCCAGGTCTCTGACAATTATAAGTTCATCTGTGTAATTCTCGTATCTAATTTATTTATCTATTGCCTGTCTTGATTTTATGGAACCACATTTCTTCTCTCTCGCCCATCGTTTAAATCTTCAACATATCAAGCGAGTGTAACACTTGGCTTATTGGAAGCCGTTGTGTTTCTTTATGTTTTATCGTTTTTTTTTTCGGCTATAATTTTCCTAAGAATGAATGATGACTTTTTATATCCCAGTTACACTTCCTCTGTCCTACAACTGAGGCTCAGGACAGGGGCTGTTATAGCTTTTTTTATTTACTTTTTTTACTGACACATCGGTCGTCTCCCACCAAGGTTGGGTGCCCCGAAAAAGAAAGACTTTCACCATCATTCACACCATCACTGTCTTGCCAGAGGCGCGGTCACATTACAGTTATAAATCAAGAGCTCCACACAACGAAGTGGGGCTCTTGATTTAAAGTCCCTTTGTGAATAAAAAGTCCGTGGATCTAACTTCTTAAGTTAGTCATGGACCAACACCTAGTACGAGGCATGGAGCACACTGCAGGTGTATCAAAAACCCAACGCAGTGAAAAAAGTATTATTCATACACTTATATACTAATATTTTACTACATTTTCACTGTTTAGATTTAGTCACTTTTATATTTTTTTACGTGTCGGCAACAGGAGACAATTTTCATATTTTTTTTAGCATTAGAAACCGTGATCAAGAGGCATAAAAATCATTTTAATTATGTTAGAGACTGTGAAATTACTATTACATTTTATTATAAATCGATTAAAAGCATCTCAGGGGAATCATTCAATCTCATTACTGAATTATAAGGTAATTGGTTGTCATCTTAACACATTTTATTCTCATTCTGTCTTACACTAAACTCAAAGATCAAACAGAATATTAAAATCAGAGAAAACGCTGAACTGACAAGGGTCATACAGTGCTGCGGGGCAGAAAATAGTCCTGGGGCTATAAACAGGTAGTTGGAGAAGGGATCAGAAATGAGAGGAGAAAAGGGCTGGAAGGGGCGCTAAGGGCTATGTGTCAAAGTTCGTATAGTAGTTGCTGACAAAAAGTCAAAAAGTGATTGTAAGTCAAAGGCAGGACCGTCTGCCAGAAGGAGAGATAAAGTAAGAGTGGTGGGGAGGCGGTGGCGCTGGAGGTAAATCCTGCGACCTCGCTGGTAAATCCGCGGGCAATCCACAAGAAAGTGAAGAACGAAAACAGGGACCAAACAAACCTCACAGAGAGAAATAGGGTGTCGTTCCATGAGATACCCATGGGTAAGGCGGGTATGGCCAATGCGTAGACGGGAGAGCACAGTCTCCCGAGTACGGCAACAGTGGTAAGAAGATGGCTACAAACCTACAAACGGTTTAATACAGTGTAATTTGTTATGGTGCATGTCCGACCAAGACGGGCAGAGATGACTGGAAAATAATCTCTGAACAGAATACCTCTATAGGAAACCGGAAGATCATGCACAGCATCCGCCTGTTCATTGCCCTTCACATCAACGTGTCCAAGGACCCAACAGAAAACGACGTCTTCGTTTTTGCTAGCCACACGGCACAACCAAAGTTGAATACGAAGGACTAATGGGTGAGGGGAATTAAATCGTTTAATGGCTTGTAAAGCACTGAGGGAATCTGAAATGATCACAAACGTCGAAGAAGACATATATGTAATACGGAGAAGTGTTATGAGGATGGCATACAACTCGGAGGTAAAAATACTAGCTGAGTCTAACAAAAAACCTCGGACAACATCGTCAGGGAACACCGCCGCGAACCCAACACCGTCAGAAGATTTAGAACCATCTGTATAAACAGCGACGGCATGACCATGCAACCAGAAGTGATTAAGAAAAATAGAGTGAGAAGCAGTCGTAGGTACGAGAAGTTTGCCGCACGGCAGTAGGGAAGAACAGACACGAACCGTCAGAACCTCCCAAGGGGGAAGGGAAAAGGCAGACGCTAAATGAACACATGGGAAGTAACTGGAGAGAAGACCCGAGTGAGTGAAGACGAAGAGAAAACGGTCGGAGTAAGAAGGAGCGCCGAACAATTAATGGACTTCTACTAACGTCTGAGACCACCCTATACGTAGAAGAAACACAAAGGTCTTGAGAGAAGACAAAATAACGAAGACAATGAGCATTACGATAATCAGCTAAGGAAGGAACATTCGCCTCAGCATAGAGGCTTTCAACAGGGGATGAACGAAAGGCACCAAGGCATAAACGTAGACCCTGATGATGAAAGGGATCTAACCTAGAAAGAGTTGCAGAAGCCGCAGAATAGACTTGGTGGAATGCAAACAGAGGAGAGTCCAGCGATCTGCTCCCCATGAACGATACTCAAGAATTTTAAGGAGATTCAGTCGACCATGGCAAGCTGCCTTCAAAGAGGGAATGTGACGTTTCCATGTCAACTAACGATCGAAAAGAAGATCAAGGAACTTGACCGTATCACATTCTGGAATACGTGAGCCGTGTAACTACGATGGAATATCTGGGACAAGAGGACGTCTAGTGAAGATAATGAAATGGGTTTTCGTACTATAAAATTTAAATCCATAAGAAGTGGCCCAGCGGAAAACTCTATCAATCACATCCTGTGTAAGCTATACTGAAGTCATCCACATAAAGTGACAACCAAATATGCGATGGAAGAACGGAAGGTAGGTCATTTATAGCCAAGAGAAAAAGGGTAGTGCTAAGGACACAACCTTGTGGGACTCCCTCGGCCTGAACAAAGTCTGAGGAATGCGAGGCGCCAACACGGACACGAAAATGTCTATCAGATAAGAAAGCAGCAAGTGTGTGTTCAGGTGCTTGAAGTGGCTCTGGATCATCGCTTTCCACGGGAGAACATCGTGAACCAAGGCAGCTTCCATATTTGTGAAGGAAACCGTTAGTGTTGAGTCCACGAACCTGTAAACACGATCGATACTTGCCTCTCCTAGCACTGCCAGCTGCGCCATTTCCTTGGCTGCTAGCTTCCTCCTGATTGGCATCCATCAGCTGGCTAGACTGTAGGAGTAGAGTACGACATGCTAGGTGGAGCAAGGTTGTGGAGGGGTTATGGTGTGTGGTGAGCCTTGAGGGGCTGGGAGGAAAAAAAACTGACCTCTACGGCATGGGTATCCCGGGGATTTGGGCGGGGAAGGGGCGGGGAGTCGAGTGAGCGGAGGCACAGGGATCTGGGTGGGGGAAACGCAGGTACTCACTTCACGTATATTCATACACACGAAGCTGCACAATTTATATTGTTCACACTTAGTTACAATAAAGACAACATTATTGTTTCCCCTGCTCATCCTGAAAGATGTGGGTAAGTGCACTGTTGAACACTGAATATGTTCCGTCATCTTCACCTACACTCAGCATCTCTTCTCCCCCTTCCTCAGTGACGTGGGGGAGGCAGCAGTGACTGATCACTCCCTCGTTACTCTCAACACCACATTGCTTTCCACAACACATGCCTCTAATTATTCCATTTCTCAGTTAATTGGAAGTATGACGCATGGTGCTGGAGGCAAATGTATTTATAAAACTTTTTCGAGGTTTGTAAATACGATAATTATCCTTCCCCACCCCCATGGGCCATCTTCCCCACCCCCATGGGCCATCTTCCCCACCCCCATGGGCCATCTTCCCCACCCCCATGGGCCATCTTCCCCACCCCCATGGGCCATCTTCCCCACCCCCATGGGCCATCTTCCCCACCCCCATGGGCCATCTTCCCCACTACCACCACTTATCAACCTTCACAAACTACACAACACTTCCACTATTTACATTGAAACGATGCACTGGAATGCCTTCCCGGTACATTGGAATGTCTTCTCATTGTACTGGAATGTCTTCTCGCTACACTGGAATCTTCCCAATGTATTCACACTGAGTCCTATTCAGTCGTGACCTGGAATTTACCTGGAGTTTACCAGGAAAGAGTTTCAGGGGTCAACGCCCCCGCTGCCCGGTCTGAGACCAGGCCTCGTGCTGGATCAGGGTCTGATCAACCAGGATGTTACTGATGGCCGCACGTAAACCGACGTACGAACCACAGCCCGGCTGGTCATTTCCTGACTTTTGGTGTCTGTTCAACGCCTTCTTGAAGACAGCCAGGGGTCTATTTGCAATCCCCCTTATGTATGCTAGGAGGCAGTTGAACAGTCTTGGGCCCCTGACACTTATTGTATTGCCTCTTAGTGTACTCGTGGCGCTCCAAAGAGGCTGACCTGGTCAGCCACTTTAACCAAGAGCTGACATAGAAAATCCCGCAGCTAGCCCACCACACGTCCCGTCATGCCCTGGCATAGTTGGGTATTTCAGTAAATCTAATATAACAATATAATTATTACCTAAAGAATATTATCATATTCCCTAAAATACCTTAAAAAATTAACGAATGATTTTTTCTGTTACAGAGTCGCCGTATTTCGAGCAACCAGTTCAGAACGTGACGGTACAGGTGGGACGCAACGCCAAACTCACCTGTATTGTTGAGAACCTTGGCAACTATAAGGTAAATCTTACACCTGTCACGAGAACCTTGTTCACTGCTAGGTAAATCATACACCTGCCAAGAAAACCTGGTCTACTTCTAGGTAAATCTTACACCTGTCATGAGAACCTTGTTCACTGCTAGGTAAATCATACACCTGACATGAGAACCTTGTTCACTGCTAGGTAAATCTTAAACCTGTCATGAGAACCTTGTTCACTGCTAGGTAAATCTTAAACCTGTCATGAGAACCTTGTTCACTGCTAGGTAAATCTTACACCTGTCATGAGAACCTTGTTCACTGCTAGGTAAATCTTACACCTGACATGAGAACCTTGTTCACTGCTAGGTAAATCTTCCACCTGACATGAGAATCTTGTTCACTGCTAGGTGAATCTTACACCTGACATGAGAACCTTGTTCACTGCTAGGTAAATCTTACACCTGTCATGAGAACCTTGTTCACTGCTAGGTAAATCTTCCACCTGACATGAGAATCTTGTTCACTGCTAGGTAAATCTTACACCTGACATGAGAACCTTGTTCACTGCTAGGTAAATCTTACACCTGACATGAGAACCTTGTTCACTGCTAGGTAAATCTTCCACCTGACATGAGAACCTTGTTCACTGCTAGGTAAATCTTACACCTGACATGAGAACCTTGTTCACTGCTAGGTAAATCTTCCACCTGACATGAGAATCTTGTTCACTGCTAGGTAAATCTTACACCTGACATGAGAACCTTGTTCACTGCTAGGTAAATCTTACACCTGACATGAGAACCTTGTTCACTGCTAGGTAAATCTTACACCTGACATGAGAACCTTGTTCACTGCTAGGTAAATCTTACACCTGACATGAGAACCTTGTTCACTGCTAGGTAAATCTTCCACCTGACATGAGAACCTTGCTCACTGCTAGGTAAATCTTACACCTGACATGAGAACCTTGCTCACTGCTAGGTAAATCTTACACCTGACATGAGAACCTTGTTCACTGCTAGGTAAATCTTACACCTGACATGAGAACCTTGTTCACTGCTAGGTAAATCTTACACCTGTCGTGAGAACCTTGACTGCTGGGAGACGTCTTACGTCTCTCATTTTAATTTGTGAACATTACGATATAACATCAGTCTTTATAACAAGATAATATCTAAAGCACTTGTCACTGTGTATTAATGACCGTGACACAAGAAGGAAAGTCCACTTTACCTGTCACGTTACTGATGACCTCACTTGGCTTCAGCCCGGCCAGAGGTCAGCTTCCTCAAGTGATTATCAAATCTACTAGAACAGCGCTGTGTGTAACCCATAAGTATTTAATAAGTATTTCATAAGCTTTGACCACTAACGAACTGGTGTCTCTGTTAATATGTTTGAATCAATTTTCACGGCGAGTGTATTTCTAATAGTGTAAGACCATTAGAACAGATTATGGGGTACGATTTACACACACACACACACACACACACACACACACACACACACACACACACACACACACACACACACACACACACACACACAATATATATATATATATATATATATATATATATATATATATATATATATATATATATATATATATATATATATATATATATATATATATATATATATATATATATATATATATATATATATATATATATACATACATAGAAGAGAGGAGCTTAAGACGGCGTTTCGGTCCGCCTTGGGCCATTTACAAAGTCACACTAACGAAAAGGAACGAACGAACGAACGATAGTTCAGGTAAGATCCCAAATGGGATGAGCGGGGAAGACGGGACAGACAAAGAATAGAGCTGGAGAGGAGTGTTCTTAGTCGTAGAAATAGAGCCAGGGCTTAACCCAGCAGCGAAGGTGATCGTGGGACAAATATTGAGAAGAGAAATTCAGGCTCTTCTGTTGGGACTCAGGTGGGTTGAGCGGGGAGGACGGGACAGGCGAAGATTAGGGCTAGAGAGGAGTGTAGAATGTACGGCCTGCCAAAAACTCACAAGCCTGGTATCCCACTGAGGCCCATATCCTCGGGAATAGGCAGTGCTCCCCACCAGCTCTCAGGAATTCTCGCAAAACACCTCTCTAAACTCTTGGGCACTATCAGTCCAGCACATCTCAAACACTCGGGTGATCTTCTCAACCGCATTCGCAACATCAACATCAGGAACAAGAAACTTTCCAGCCTTGACGTAACTTCCTTATTCACCAAAGTACCTACTACACAAGCCATCGATCTCTTGCGCAGGAAAATTGACGATTCACATGATCTTCCTATTTCAGCCAGCGATTTCATCGACCTTGTTGAACTATGTGTTGGCTTTACGTATTTCTCTTTCGAAAATCACCTCTTTCAGCAGATTTTTGGACTACCCATGGGTTCGCCACTCAGTGCCGTCCTGGCGAACCTATACATGGAACATCTGGAAGCCGAGCGTTTCTCCATCATTATTCCTTCATCTGTCACATGGCTCCGTTATGTTGACGACATTCTCCTCATAACTCCCAGACGCTCTCCAAGACAAGCTCTCCAAGACAAGCTCAACCAGGTCGAGCCTTCAATCCAGTTCACACTTGAAGAAGAAGTCGACAATATTCTTCCTTTCGGATGTTCTTCTCTGCAAAACTGACCATGAACTTTGTTTTAAAGTCCATCGAAAACCCACCAACCAAAACGATCTTCTCCACTTTTACTCTTACCACGACACCAAAACTGAACGTGGTGTAATTATAGGTTTTTTCCTGCGTGCACTCAGAATCTGCAGCACTGAGTTCCTTGAGGAAGAATGCACTATAATTGAACAAGCATTTTCCAAACTCCACTATCCTCGTCATTTCATCAGAGACTGCAGACGACGGGCATTAAACATCGTCAACACACCCAGAGAAGACACTGCCGAGAAGGGATACATAGTCCTCCCCACCAACTCCATTGCTAAACACGTTTCCAACATTTTTTCCAATACGCCATTCCAAGTATCTACCTCCACAACCACGACCATCAAGGACATTACCAGTAATAGACAGGACAAACTTCCATCCTCTGCAGGGGTATACATAATCCCTTGTAATGACTGCAGAAAATTATACGTGGGCGAAACATCAAGAGACCTACAAACACGTATTTCAGAACATTAATACACAAGCAGGTCTGACGATACAAGAAATGCCTGTGTACAACACCGTAATTCACACAACCATTTAATGAACTACAGAAACTCAAGACTTATCGCCGAACAATCCTGGAATCATCGCTTATCTCTATGACCAACAACTTCAACCAGAATAATGGCTTCTATAACATAGCTGAACCACTTGCCAAGAAACTTCTTCATTGCTATCCCACATAAGAACACAGGAATGGAGGAACACTGTAGAAAGTCTGCTCACAAACTTATTCAATCTCCTTTCCAAGCTACCCAAGATTATAGACTCTATAACCCCACTCGGTACATCATCAGATGCAGCATTCTCCACCTGACCTCAGCATTCTGAACCTGACTATAAATACTCGCGTACCTTCCACCCCAGGTAGATCTGTTTGTGACTTGAAAAAGCTCACTGTGTGGGCGAAACGTTGTCAACAAAGGATCACATTATACTGCATATGTGTTTATGTTTCCATTTTGTCGGTATTTTATACCATTTATTTCCAAAGGGATAAACCTGTTTCTGTCCTGGTTAGTAGATTTTGGAAATACTTGATATGTTTAAATGAATCCAAGTGCCTGTACCGGGGAGGTACAAGCACTTGGATTCAAGAGACATGTTGGTCGAAAGTAATTGTCACGTTCTGGATTTCAATCTGAGCATTGTCCACCCACTTCTACTGCAGCTAAATGCTATTCCTACAGAGCGTCTGCTTGCAGCAGGGGTTGGGCGACTGACTCAAGTTAGCAGCTCCGGAATGGTACGCTGTGCCCAGTTGAGACCAAGAGCTGGAATACCAGACCGAGTCTTACCACACATTAGGTTTAATTTGCATACCTATGTGAATATCCGGTTTCTGGCAAGCATGCACTAACACACACCTCTTCCAGTAAATTTTAAATGAAGGCTTTGATCATTTCATCTAGTAATAATACTGCATAAATATATTACTATTAAAATTTTTCACCTCCTCGAGAATGAATCATTACTAAATATCATCAAAAGAGTACTGTTAAACCATATCACGGGTGGGGTTAGAACTCGCGATCAGAGTCATAAAACTCCAGACCGACGCCCTAGCCACTGTTATATGAGTTATGAAAAGTGTGGCCATTCTCTACAGTATATATGTTCAAATCAGTGTTATATAATGTGATATAGAATATATCACCCGTAGAATACGTGAAACAACAGGATTAATTCCTATATATCTTCACTTAAGATAATATTATAACGCTATTTCAGTATCACTTAGCATCAGCCCTGTAGTTATGTGACTTATTAAAACAATTCTAATATCTTGCTTATAACTTTCTACAACCCTGTAAACACGTTCTATGATGACCCAATGAGCAGTGCAAGTTACGTACTGCGTTACTCATTCATGAGTTAAGACAAGACAATGACGCAGTGAGATTTACAACTCTTTGTATTAATGTTAAGTAGAGCAGCACCTGCTCTTGTTTCAGTGATGGTTTAATTAAATTCACAATGTTTCAAAACATTGGCACAAATTCTACAAATGTGCAACTTCATGGTATAAATTTTAACGGTAGACATATATTGCAAATTCAGCTTAATGGGAAAGAGAATTACAGCCATAATGAATTGATAAAGGATCATCTTCTTGTATTTCTGAAGATTTTATTGACTTTGTAATGGTTATAGACGCCGGAGATATTCAATATTTCGTTGTGTATCTGGACGGCAGCCATCATGGAAAATCTTGGAAAAAAAATACCCAATTATCTTCACAGGAAAAAGAAAACAGCTTTTTCTGTTTTTTTAAAATGTTGATATGTAATATAAAACAATTATAGTAATTCTAGAGTTTAAGTTTATGCGATCGAAAAGTATAGTTT